ATAAGAAATTATCTTTAGTCCCCTTTTGCTTTGCTCTCTCTTCTTTCCTCCTCCTTTGCCTCCCTATCTCTTTCTCTCTCTCTCTCCTCTCTTCTCTCTTGATCAGGAAAGTGATCTGCACAATAACGAGATAACGTAGCGACCAGTTGACCAGCAGCAACAGCAGCTTCTTCGGTGAACCAGTTTCACCTCCCACGCTGGACAGTCGACATCGTTCTGACATTTTTTTTTTTCTATTCGTTCTCTATGCTTACGTTTTACAACTCCGGATACACAACGTTGATGAGAAATGATTCGTATGATCGCGAATTCAGCGTCGACATCATAACGTATTCAGATGTAATGTGTGTGTGCAACACACAGGCGGCTCTATTTTTTTTGTAATGCACGTTCTGCGGTAGATTTTGAAATCAAGGAAAATATCAAGTTAAAAATCTCTTAGAGGAGAGAGAGAAAGAGAGAGTGTGTTATCAAGTTATTATTAAAAGAGAAAATATAAACGTTGACACAATCGATTCTTCAATTGATTTTCACTAATCTTCAGTGAAATTTTGGTTCATAATATACAAATTTTTACTGAAACAGAATTTTACTATTTTAATTTATTTTTTTTTCTGTCAAGCGCAAAAATTTTTTGGAATCCAACAATCGCGCATGTTTAAACAATAATGACTTGCGCAAGCTCGAAATATCGATAACAAAGCAAGTCCACGTTCGCCGCGCATCAATTCCGCTGATAAGCTGACGACTAATCGTTGTGTTGTTCGTGCGCACTGAGTCGCAATTGAATTCGGAAACTTCGCGACGTCCAATTCGCGTCGCTTCGCACAAACGCGATTGTGCAGATAACGCGTTCTTTATTCACGTCTTCCTACAATTCACTGATGACCTTCGATCCTTCGTCGATAATTTTATTAGACGACGCGCCTTGACCCTCATTAACAATTTCACTTGCTTATTATGCGCCTGGGATAACCCTCGATTACAATTTAACAACGCGGGATAATTCTCGTCGCGGAAAAACACGTCGAGTCTGGCTAGTTTTTGTTTAAATTCATTTTGTTCGTAAATCGAGTACTCACTAGCCGCTCGATCAGCGGAATAAAATAATCGGTCATTCAATCCGTTATTTATCAAATCAAGAAATAACGTAACAAAAATAAATTAGTTTAATCGACATCAAAAATACGAAACATGTTTTAAAATTTCGTGGAAACGTTTGTGCACGTGTGATTTAATATTATATTATCTAAAAAAATAAAATAAAATAAAAAATATAAAAAACAATACGCAGATACAATTTCTCATTTGTAAATAATACAACAGACTGAATTTGCCGCACATTGGACGAGTTTACAATCTAATTCCTGACTGATATTCAACAAAATATATACTTGGTGCGTGGATGCATTATATATGTATACGTCACAAGAGCGTCACCTGCGAGATAAGCTCGTCGGAAGTGCGTCAGTGTCGTTATACTCCGATTGTAAGGTCGCACGCTGCACGATAAACCGAGAAATATTTCAGGTAATCCTTTGGATCATAATTTCGTATTCCGATGGAATTTTTACACCATCGTTTCGAGATATTCACGTAAGTTGATCTTTTTGCACAGATCGTTTCCTTTTTAAATATTTTAAATAATTATTATACGCCGCATTCTTAGAATCAAATCTGATTATCTCATACACTTTCATTTTAAATATATGTCAAAAATTATACATAAGAAACGGCATTAAAAAAACACACAATTAATTCGAAAAAAGACTTGATTTTTTATCGAAAAAATTTTTCTCATTTCTCCGAAGACTAATTTGCGGGATTCGTTCGCGTAACATCCAGTAAACTCGACAATCAAGTGATATCGTAATATCGATCTTTCCGATACCGATGCGACATTATATATATATGTGTATATATATATAGATATATATATATATACATATATGTATATATATATATATATATGTATGAGCTACGAAGCGCTCGATAATCCACTCCCATTACAAATGCATTCACGGATTTGCGATTCCAAGATGCATGCATGCGCGTGTTAATATGCGTCTGCATTTTTTGTTTCACGCGGTGTTATTTTATCGAAGTTGTTCTGTCGCTGTAGTTACTTATAAATTCGATATTGCACTTCGCAGACTGTTAACACTTTTTAGAAAGAAAATGTGCTTCAGCTTTTTACAAAGCATTACGTTACAAAGATACATTTACATTGACCGAATAAATTTTTAACGCCTAGAAAACAAACTAGCTCTTGCGTTATTAGAATAAGTTTTAATACTGCGAATATCGTTTGATGTTTGCGAATAATCCAAAATCTGACGAGCACGTTTATTATTTACAATCTCGCGATAAGTACGTATGTTTCTTGACTATTCATTAGCACAAAGTTTATCTTGCATCTGACAAATATGACTTACCTATCCGCAAGCATCAATAAGACGAATATGACACATTTGAACGCAAAATCCGTGACAGTTACATCAAAATACTGATACTTATGCAAAAATGTACTCTTTACAGGTGTTAATTTGTTGAGAAGTTGTATATTTCTGTAATTACAATGTTTATTACTCACAAGTACAATATATCGGAAAGAAATGTCATCAGAACTGAGAAGAGAGAATTATAATGACTTTCGTCTTCTGAAAAAAAAACATTTTGTACGCAGAACACACACATCGCTTTCTTTTAACACAAAAATTAATATGACCTGTATTACTATCAGTGAAAATTAACGCAATTAACAGAAATTTTCATGATCGTCGTATTTTTGTCTCACTTTGTTTTTTGGTGAATTAAAATATATAATATTCTTAACTATACATTTAATCGAATGTATATCGATCGATATTATATTTCAGACGGTTTTCAGAGCGCGTAGGCTGGACTTATTTTGTGGAAATGAAAGCAGCTGGTATCGCGCGGTCTGGGAGAACGAAAAAGAAGAGGAAAAAGTTTGTGGGTCTCACACATATAGTCGGTGGGACTCAGATATACACAACAGGCAGAAAACTACCAATAGCAACTTTGTCTCTCGTCCAATCGCGTGCGAAAGTCGAGACTACAGCTTCATACGTATCACTGTCAACGTTATTATTTGTAATATTTCGCGACAATTTGCTCATTGTTAATTTGAAAGCACCAATTATCGGATAAAATAATTTCAGTATTAAAATTATGGTAACACGTACTAATCAACATGTAAATAATCAAACTTGTGCGAATAGAATATAAATTTTCTGAATTCTCTTCATGTAAAAAAGAGACTTTCCAAAATCGATCATATATAAAATGTAAATACAAGAAGAGATATAAATCAAAGAGGAGACGAAAATAGAACTTTTAGTTCGTCACGCATGTAACCATTCTTTTCTCCTCTTTCCATTTTCCCTCAGACAGTTCACTTTCTAATTGACGTGTAATAGCACGGTATGTTTTACTTCGTATACCACCATTCAAGTTATCCAGCAAGAAGCTCCGCACCCTATTGTGCCTGGCTTGTGTTGATTGTGTTGAGTAAATACGCGAGTCTAAATACAAATCATTTAGATAATCGTCCTCCGGCTGATTTACACGTGATTGCTACAAGTTGACGAGACAAATCCGACTATCGAGTTAATTCTTAATGCAATAAAAATGATCAGTAACAAATCTCGTTTGTGACATTTGATATTTTGATGGCAGCGCAATTGTCCAAAATTCCGATTATTATTCGAGCGACTATTATTCATTCAAGGGACACAAATTTTCGCGCGAGCGCGATTAAAACTTGCATATTTCATCATTTCGATTCCGCTTTTTCGCGTAACGTTGAAAATATTGCGATCGGCTGCAGCTCGAATTATCGAGGTGGTTGACGTATTAGGCGGATATTTTATTGCACGTTTATTTATAGCAATTAGTTTAGACATGTTGTTAGCACACAAGTCTATCTTATATTTTTTCCCACCGCGATTCCAACTCTTCTTATATTATATGCTTGCGGCAGAATTAATGCAATATCGTTCATGTTTTTGTGGTTTTTTTTCTTATGTTGTCTATTTCTCCATATCTGTAGAAACTTCACCAGCTAAAAAAATAATCAGCTTTCAACGAAACACTCACCAGTTCGAGCTCGCAACATAAGGTTGCCATTGTATTGGCTCGCATTTGCTTTTACAATTTGTTGTTCAAACTCAGTTTGAACAAGTTTCTTTTCAATTGATTAAGAAGCTGTTTTCTATTTTTCTCTGCTCCAAAAATCTCGTTTGTCGTAAAAACTGTTTCTTATGTTAACGACAAGAGTAAGAAAACTTTCCTTGCAAAAACCTTCCTTTCGTCCTCCCCTTCAAAAATTGCTGATAAGGAAATCTCGCTCTTCTGTTTTTTAAAATAACTTACCGTTCTAATTAATACTCAAAAAGTATTTTTTTCTCTTTTACTCTCCACAATCCTTGCTTTGAAAACGTTAATAAAACAAATCTGTCTGAACAATGAAACACACAAAACGACGCGTGCGTGATAAAGTTGTACAGCACGATCGTTACTGCGTACATTCCGATTTTTTTTTTCAGATATATATAAAGGAAACTTTTTTTTTTCCTGGAATTCTTATCTCGTAGAACAGTCAGGGAACTTGTTACCAACCGAATACTCATCATGTATATATCTCGTCTATAACTTGCGACTTTAACTATGGAGTTTCCACGAGTTTGAGCAAACTGGCGCAGCCGGATGAAAAACATCTCTAGCCATTTTTATTTTGCAAGTAGCTGTCGTCTCTACATAAACGGTTAACGTAACATTTTCAACAACACCTGTCTGTCCATCTCTCTCTTCCTCCGTCTTTCTCTCTCACCTTGTTGAACTCGCTCCCGTCTTTTTGTCTCGCTCTCTCGCACTCGTCATCAGCAACGTACGTAATCATCGAAATTCATCCGACTCCGGTTGAAGCTCATTTTCTCGGGATTGGAAGAAACCAAAAAATATTTACACTCACTCACCGGTTTGCCGACGAGCGTCACATATCCGCGCCGCTAAAAATGTTGTTGCCTATCACCTTCCCTCTCGCTTGGTTGCACCAATGACCGTCGTTATGCTGGCGGTTATCTCCACTTCACTTGCGGTACTCTCGGTGTATTAATCTGAGCGCTTTTCGAACTCTTTCTCTTCTTCTGGAGTGATATCACAGTGGCGCTGCGGTGGCGGACAAAGCCATCTTGCAGAAGGCACACACGCACGAACAGCACGAGCGACTCGCTTCTCTCAACGTGACAATCAGATCCTATCCTATTGCCAGGACGGAAGGCGGCCGAATGAAAGGCCAAACATGATGGTAAAACATGCCAAGATGGCGCCACCGAGCGAGACTGCCGCCTCTTCCGCCATCGCTGTCCAAATCACTACGTTGTAACATTTCGCTGTTTCAAGAGTGATTGTCCCGCTCATCAGCGAGAAAGGGTCCGATGACCTTTTCGCAGACCTCTTTCGAACTGCGTTAACATTTACTGATAAAGTTCGTTCGAAAGGTTCCAAGCGATATTTTTGAAGCAAATGATATATGATGAAGGTCAAATGGCGGGAAAACCTTGAGAGACGAGCTTCGACCTACGGTTGGCAAGTGACGCCATGTTAAAGGCGGCAAAGTTTGAAGTTGCGTCACGGACGAGCTGCTGATTACTGGGGATAATCAGCGGGCGATTTATATTTTTCTCGAAAAGAAAATCGGTTGGATTCATCATTTTTGTAATTAAAATCACGAAAATGAAGAAGAACACATTACAAAGAGATCTTAAATGTAATTAGAATATTGTTTTTTTACTGCTACTTCTTATGAAGTTAGTTTCAAAAAACAATTTAAGCGGCCAAAGTAGCGTCTTCAGGAAAAAGGATGATGTTGATAGAATTCAATAATAGTTTTGAGGAACGTAAGGTAAAAGCTGTAAAAAAAAAAAAGATTAATTATTGAAGCTTAATTAAAGTTTTATTTTTAAAAATGATTTATCACATAAGATAACAAAACATTTGCGTTTATTAAAATAAAATAAAGCAAAATATGATGCAAGATTAAAAAAATATAATAAACAGAATTAATTAAAGTAATACAACAAAGGAAAACAGAATCAATTAAAATAACGCATTAAATAGAAACAAAATAAATTAAAACCATAACATATTTTTATAATAAATTTAATCTAGCACACTTGATTTGTTCGGATATCAAATACGCGCATATTCTTGAATAGATTTTATTCGAGACTGCTAACCAATAACTATCTACATTCTACAACAAGTATATCTGCCCTTTTCGAGACGCTGCTTCGTCCTTACATGTACTTTTGTCTTGGCAAAGACGTTATTGTATATAATAAAAGAAAATAAATGCAAAATTGTGCGATACTTCTTACAAATAGCACAATAAATAAAGTTTTCTTCTTTTCTCCAATCTCATACTTTTTTTATCTCTTTTTTTCTTTTTCTCACATCGCACTTTCTCATCACTCGTATCTCTCAAAGCGGATAAATCTTCGTTCTATTCTTTTTTTTGGCATTTTTAAGAATATATATAAATAAGTCGCGCGCGCAAAGTCGATGTCTCGTTTAAATTATTAAATTAGTAAATATATGTATTGTATATATACATATATACATATATATATATATATATATATACATATACATATACTGTATATGTGTATATGAATATTCAATATATCTTTATATATATGTCGTATATGACTGGAACTCCTCGACATGTATCACATACTAATATTGACTATCGTGTTTCAGGACAGGACTTCGAGAACTCTTCGTGTTCCGAAATCCTAGCGACGTTTTCGTTTCTCTGAATCCAATTTAATACATCGAGAATTCTGGCAAACTTTCGTATCTCTTTCTTCGACTGTCCGAACACATTACATTATCTTATGACAATATTTCATTGATGGCTTTAACAGTAACAATATTCTATTACTCGGAATTTTTTGTATCTGCAGCTATCAATAGTTAATTTTGCACGCTTGAGTTGTTTGTTAAAATAATTGAGTAATCATTGTATATTCGAACATTTACACAGAGACGCATCAAAATTCTTGTGAATTGAAACATGATTTCTTCCGAGAATCCGGAGAAACGGAAACGCACGCCGTCGTCTTATTGCTGCATTATTGACTTTAGGACCGTAAAAGTTAATCGCTTACTTACTAGTACTTTCGACATACTTTCGCGATGTTCTCGCCGAAATCTCATTTGGATTCCGAGAGACCAAACTTGAGATCAATCTCGTCTCTTAAATAAAGTTTAAATAACACATTTTATTTTTTTTCATATAAAGTACTCTTCTAAATAATCTAAATACTATTTTTATTGCATATCAATTACTTGGACTTGTTTTGTTCTCAATGTGTATCTCTCGTATTCCATGAAAAAAATAAAATAGCATGTTATTACACACCGCATGTGTATTTCTTTTCAATAATAAGAAAGACATTACTGTTAACATTTTTAAACCGAATTTGTCTCTAACTCGAAAAAAGTTAATCAGTTCTCTTCTCTTTATCATTAATACTTTTGATTATTTCAATATTTTTGTAACCAAAGACTGTTTTTCTCGCTTTTATTAAAAAAATCCCTCTATCTGAAATCCTTCTCTTTCTTCTGTTTTTCTTTCTCAAAGATTTCTTAATATTTTAAATCTTTGGTTTCATTATCTTTTTTATTAATTTCATTTTCCACTTCTTATTTCTGCGATTTGTTGTTTCTCACGCGCCTGGTTTATCATTTGTTGTACGGAATAAAAAGTAAAAAAAAGATCGATTTTTTTTCAATTTGGAAAAAATCGATTTTTTAATTCGATTCTCCGCTGGCGACCGTGCCATCAGTCGGAGGACCGGTCACGATTTGTGGGTCGCTTGCGGGAAGTCCTTGCATATCCGGCACACCTTGGAACAGCTTGCCGGGGAATCCTTGCAATAGATCATAAGAAACTGGCGTAGGCGGCAAAGCAGTAGTGTGAGCGTGTTGCGACTGCAGAACGGCTATCACTCTTCGCAATTCCTCCAAAGCGTTTCCTGCGAAAGAATGCAACTCATTTATCAACAACAATAGCTAAAATCATACATACACAGTAAAAAATAAAAAATCTTTGTTATTTTATTATAAATTTAAAAATTTTCAGTTGTATATGAGATTTAGATTGTAAAACATACACACAAGATAGGCTTATCACCTTGCATAAGAATGTAATTTTTTGCCAGAAGAAGGGTAGCTATCTTCGAGAGCTTCCTTACGGAGGGACTGTGAGCGTAAGGAATGACGGAACGAAGCTCATCCAGAGCGTCGTTCAAATCATGCATTCTCCTGCGTTCTCGCGCGTTAATGTTCAGTCTTACGCTTTTTCCTTGACGAGTTGTTTTCGATTTTGAAGGACAGTTCAGTCGGGAACCAGTAGGTCTAAACATTTACAACATACGTATATTGAACAAAATTATTATTTGCAAACGCTTACGAAACGTTGGCTATTACTCGTAGAAATATATTTTTTATTTTATTTAGTTTGCTTATTTTATTTTGTGTTTTAAGAGAATGCTGAAGCGACGATCGAACTCCGATTCAGCCGCCGCTCAGCCGCTACGTTGTCCAGTAAGTAGCGCCCTATCGAAGACAAGAATAGACAACATGTTACAGAGACAAAGATAGACAAATGTGTCTCTCCAGCAGTTTTCTGCTAAAACTGCACTAATATTATTGTCACATTTTTTCTTCTTACAAACTTCAAAATTTTTTTCTAAAACACTAAAAATATTCGTTTATGTCACTAAAATGAAAAGGTTTTGTCATAATTTGTACTGCCAATTTTGTATACAAAGTGAAAATGTCTACGTGATAACTATACTTTATAAATTTTTTTTTCGTTTTTCTTGTTGATCCAGACTATATTTTAGTATATTCTTTTTTATTCTAAAGAAGCATTTTTCACTCTGATCAATTGATGCAGAATAAGTTCTGCGAAAAAAATGTTGGTAAACCAGGACGGTTCAGCATCTTCTTAAAATATACATCAAATTATTGTATTAGTGTATATTAAAGTTATAAATTATTTTATTTTTGTTTTTTGTATTTAAGTTACGTGAGTTTTTATAATCACCTTTCTTCAGGTCGATTTTCGTCGGACAGTGCGCTTGATGAAGTATGAGGCTGTGGCTGTTGTTGAAAGTAGAAACCTCCGAGACCCACCGCGCCCAACGGAGTTCTTCGTCCTGGAGCACTCTGAGTGTGTTCCGACGAGTACACTGCTGGCGGGCCCGAGACACTTGGATGTGAAGCTCCCGGAGTCGAATACACAGATTCGAGCGCTGCTGCAGATTGAGGAGGCAGCGGATGCTGGAAGGAGTTTTTCTCAAAATCTTTTTTTCTTTGTTTCAATTTTTCTACATACAGTGTTAAGTATGTATAAATTGATGATATAATTTACACGTCTTACTTACGGCATTACGATGTTCCCAAGCCCAGGTAGGATGCGACGCGGTGCGTTGCCAAGATCCCTGTTGCAAATGCGCTTCCGGTAAACTCTCTCTGCGATCGTCATCCTCTGTTGAACTACTCTCGCCGTCATACGATCTCATTTTTGGCAAGAACACTTTCTCGATTTAAATCCGACGATCTTCGTGTTTTGAATTCCTATATTCGCAAATTGGTTTTCTTATATTTGTTGAAACTTTAAATTTTTTATTCTGTTAATATACAAGGTGCGTCATCAAAATCCGGACAGTTTAATTTGAATTTTCTGCTATATTTGATTTTAGCAGATGTTTGTTGACGCTCGGATAAGACGAAACGCGTGTGTAAGACATGCGTAACTTCAAAATGACCGAGTTAATGAGATCGAGTGCAGAATATAATCGAAAAGCAACAATTATTGAAGGTCTTCACGCTGGAAGATCGCCGACTAAAATAATTAAGTTCTTTGGGTATCCGAGATCGACTGTGTGCAACATCACACAAAAGTATGCGGCCTCAGAGAAGTGAAAAGAAAAATTTATTTAAAGGAGAAAACGGCAAGGATTCCGACAGTTGTTCAAAACGCTTAAGAGCTCATTTCAGAAGACCCAGAAATGTCGCTTAGGAAATTGGCCATCTTGGGGATAAGTGAGGCCACCATGCGTCGGATCGCTGAAGAGGACCTGATATCAATGATGCCAGACTCCGGCCTTTTGGTAGCATGGTAGCATGAAGGGGATACAGCTTCATATCGTGTACGTGTGCCGCACAAGCTGTGTGCGTATCTTCTCCATTCTACCAAAAAGCCGGAGTCTGGCATCACTGCCTGAGATACACCTCCTATGAGATCAAAGTACGACGGATGCTGTCTGAGGCTGCCAAGACCAAAAGAATCGCTGCAATTTGTTTATGTGGTCATTGACGAACGAAGCTGCAGGTCGCCTCAGATTTTTCTCTGATAAAAAGATTTTTATTATTGTCGATGCCAAGGAACCGGAGGAAAGACCGTTAGCTTGCTCACGAGCCTGAAGATATTCCCTTAGTAGCCAAGACGAAGTTCTCGTAGTTTCCAATGTTCACATCCTAAGCGTCGTCTCCAGTGAAGGTGACGTCATGCCGCCGCATTTCTTTAAAAAGGGAGAAACAATCACAAAGGAGGTTTACTTACGGATTCTGAGGAATGAAGCCGTGGATGGAAACCGTGGCTTCCGAGAGGCCGTACATCTTCCAGCAGGACAGCACACCGGCTCACACGAGCCATTTAGTACAAAACTGGTTTTCCGATAATGTAGACATGTTTTGGTCCAAGGAATTCTGGCCTCCCAATTAGTCTAGATTTAAATCCTCTGGACTATTACGTGTAGAGCGTAATTGAAAGGATTATTAACAAGTCCAAGCACCCCAACGTGGCATCCCTCCAGGCCGCTATGGAGGCAGCATTCGCGAATTTGGAGACCAGTTAAAAAAAAAGCGTGCTCGCGCTTCATGCGGAAAATCGGGGTAATGATCGAAGCAAAAGGGAGTTACATTGAATAACAGGATTCAAGAAGAATCTCTTAAATGACATTTTTTTTGTAAGTTTAAGGTTTTGACTAATAAACAATTCTTATAATAAACTGTTTTGTTTTATCCGGAATTTGCTGACACCTTATATTTGATGATTATACATCTTTATTCTTAAACTTTCTTTTATTTTTAATAAAATTCTGTGACTCACGTGAGTTTATTTATGTAAAACATCTTTTATTTAAAAAAATTTTTGTTTTAATTTTCAAATAACTTTCGATTTTCGTATTTAATACCGCTATTCTTAAGGAAAAACGTCATCGACCAGCTTAACTCAATCAATAGTAAGTGGAATACTTACCGACAATTTTTTTTTCTACCACCCTCTCCCTTCCCCCGCGTGTGTTCTTCGCGGGGTGTAGAATCCGGCGATCAACAAAGTTTTTTGCGCACCAACGCGCATTGACGAATCATTTCTTCTTCCGTTGTTCGTGTTTTTTCGACAAAAATTGTAATTTTTCAGAAGAATCTTGACCTTGCGAGAGTTGTCGAAGTGCCCTTGTTATTTGGACTCGAGAATCACTTGAAACCGATTCGGCGGATCATAGCCATTTTAATTCGGAAGAGCTGTCTATATTCGACAATCGACGTGACAAAAATTTCTTGAATTCTTCAAGGGAGTTTTTGTATGCAGCACCTCCGTCTTTGCAGAATGCGTTTGATTCTTTCAAAATTAATTTTCTTTTCTAATAATTAATAAATTTGTTCCTAATAAAATTAATCGCGAAAACGAAGTGTCAGAGTCACGCACGCGTCTCTTCGTCACTTTCGTTGTTTGCAAGGTCTTGCGCACAAGAGAAAGAACAACCCTCAAATATTAATTTGGCTGTTGCATGCCAGGGTGCGCAGCTAAGGGATGTTGCACTGGACCATCGGCTGGCGTACCCTGGCGGTTTCAACCGAAGATCTTTCTCGAGCGCATTTTGTTACCATCGGAAAAGGAAATTCATGCTCAAGAGAAGCAAGAGAAGTCGCTAGTTGCAAGATATATTTTCGTATTCAAATTATATTCATATGTCTGTTTGTGTGTATAGACTTATACTGCTGACATAACATTTGTTTACTTTTAATAATTATATTAAGTATGTTCTGATATTTGATGGTTTCGCGGTGTGTTGCATATCTGTAGTATCTCTGGCTGCTCTTGAAACCCTGATGAAGTGAAATGTTCACGAAACTGACTAACGTGGTTCAAACCCGAAAAACATCTTCGAATGTTAATTATTTATTGTTAGTATGTTATTGAATTTTATTTTACGACATGAGTATTTTACTGAGAAGTAAGTGCAAAATTTTTTTAACGGTAAAAATTTTAACAAAGCAAACTTCTTTTAACGGTAAAAAATTTTATTTCATTTAAAACTTGGGAGTGTTTGCACATATCCAATTTTATATATTTATATAGGTTTTTATAAGGTTTTCAGTAAAATTCGTTTCATTTTTTTATTCAAAATCTTATATATGTCTGTGCATTAACGTAATATAATTGATGTGTTTTATATATTATTTTATATATTGATATACTTTATATTAATTACTAGGTTTTTTATTAATTACTCTTTACTAGTATCTTTAATAATATTATTTATTAGTATATTTACTAATGTTTGTTGTTTATCTATTATACATTTATTTGTGTAACATATCACATGTTCTAAATACTAATTTGTAAATACTAATTTGTAAAAAAACATCTCCGTACTTATCTCATGTTTTCTTTCGATCTGGCATGTGTCGGGTTTGCATTTCGCCGTGTATATCCGTTGATGAATGCGATTAACGAACACGCGTTAACGCGCGGAAAAACACCGTGGGTGTTGTGGAGATGCCGAGACAATTCGGCGACAAGCGCATCATCCCCTACCGCGTGTGAATCACCCTCGACGTTATGTTTACGCCAGAACGCGAAAAAAATGGATTCGACGACTTTACTTTTGCGCTGATCGTGTATTGCGTTTGTGTGTTTATCGTAAATTCACCGCGACGCAATATTACGGAGCGTAGAGAAGCAAAACGCTCGCTGAAGGAACAACGGTACCGCAAATTCGATATCGCATAAATTAATCAAAGGGACGAAACGTATTGTTTACTACGCGTTTACTACACTATCTTATATTTTACACGTTATGGATATAATATGCGGCGTGAGTATTTAGAAAATAATTAACAGAATATTTTATGCGCAAAACCAAATTTCTCTCAAATCGTCCAAAATAAATTATACATTTGGAAAGTAAATTTGAAACACATTTCTCTCGACATGCATTTCAGGAAATAAACCAAAATCGTAGTTTCTGGAATCGTAGTTTCAATAAACTGAATTTGATAGGGATAAAACAGAACTAATAACAAATAAAATATTGTAATAATTTGGAATATAAGGTTAGATATATACAGAGGATTAGGTCCCTCAATATTCAAATTTTCATTTCCGCAAACAACGGAATTAAACGGGTTAAATTATTACGCATCAATGTGCTTTGTTCGCTCGCGAGATACGCGTAAAATCGTTTCTAGGTCGAGCACTATCCACATAGTGCTGGAAGATTTATCGCTTTCTTCGTGTACGGAGCAATATTCTGAGATCTCAAAAATAACAGCAGGTGCATCTGCTTTAGGAAAAATTCTAAAGTAAGAGTGACAATGCCAACATTTACATCAAGATAAGTAGAAATTATTAAACGCAAGACAGAATTAATTTTTGAAACATTAATCTGTGTGTGTAAAATTGTGTATCTCGATTTTTTAAATTTTATCTTATTATTTTAGATTAAATTACAATTATAAAAATTATTTTGTGACATAATTAATAAAATCCCGAGATTTTTTTATTACAATAATATCAAATAAAACAGAATTTATAATATCAGTAAAACGCGAAATGTTTTGTTAATATAAATTACGTTTTAATATTTCATTGCTTTGAATATTAATACTTGTGCACTTCTGCCTATAAATTTTTTGCTTATATGAAAAGACTATTGTACTATGAATATCGTAAACATATATATGTATATATATGTATGTACATATGTATGTATGTATAAAACTGCTGTTATCATCTTTGATAATAACTTGTCAAGAAACAAGAGCTGTGTGCATGGCCCGATTATTTATATAAGAGAAAAAGCGCCGACGAGCATGTATGTGTGTGCGTTGAGGAAGAAAACACCCGGAAAAAGAACCTTGCGCCACGCACATACGCGTATATGCACACATCGTATCTATCGGGCGGTATCGTTTGGTACGTATATTCGATCGTGAGCCCCGGTGATAGAATAAATAAGAGGGAGAAGGAGAGATGTCCGATAGGACGGTTGAGCGAGAGAGGAAGCCGGAGATGGTGGTTGGCGCGTACGGGGGTGGTTTTCGGGCCGACGGGCGGCCGGAGAGAGTCCTGAGGGATGAGAGATGACGAGGGTTGCCAAGGCAACCCTCCGTGCCAGCAGCCAGCCTCGGCTTACTTTAGCTCGCGCACTCTCTCGCGATCAATACAGCATCCCCCGGTGAACTCCCGGACCACACGCACCCCTTTTCCCTTCCCTTCCTATCGTCCCTTGCTCACCAACGCCGTGTCTCCCTCCCGGTTACCGGTTCCTCCTTCTCCTTATGTACCTCTCCACGTGCGCGTTATCGTCGACCGTCACAAACCAAACCCCCCTTCGCACCCTCTTTCTTCCCTACGCGCTTCATCTCAAGATTGTCTCTCTTTCTCTCTCTTCTCCGTTTATCTTTGAATGTTTCTTTCCGTTATTATCTATCTTTGTTACTCTTTTCACTTCTCTCTCTCTCTCTTTCTTTCTCTCTCTTTTTGATTTGAATTTGTCTCGGAAATCTCGTTTTATTTTGCAATATCGGAATCTGAAGTACTTTCCGCATTTGTTGATGTACAAACTATGCTTGTTAAAGTTTGATACGACGCACTCAACGATTCAACTATAAACAAGAATCGAGTCTCTTCAAAGTTGAGTTATTCATCATTACGATAGCACAATCACATAAAATGTATTGAACACGCTCTGAATATATATATATATATATATATATATATAACGCAGACACGTCAAAATGATATTACGTAGTAGAGTTTATTTGTTTTTTTGATTGCAAACTTCTCAAATTTTAAATCTACTAAAACTTATATATTAACGGTAGCAAAGATAGTAGATGTTTGCTGAAAAGTACGTAGTAAAATTGGTGGCCAATCCGAAATTCGGAGGAAGAAATTTTTTGATTCCTCTCAGGGTTACAATATTTTCTTACCACTTCTCTTCCACATCTCCCGCAACGCAATTCAAGCTGATTGGAGACCCCGATTCAGTTCGATTTTTGCAATCGATAAAATTCTACTCGAAAGAAACCGGCCCGGAAAAATCCGACGGTGTGGATTCAAACTCGGGACCTCCCGCTCGCAGCCCTCGCGCTCAGGTCGCCGAGACCAGTTGGCCGATCAAAATTCAGAAAACTAGTGCAAAAGTAAAAGATCTTTTTTTTCAATCGGTGATCTGAGCATTTTTATATTACCGATGCTTTTTATCAGCAAACCAAGAGAGCTTGATAATTGTTAAGCGTCACTGATAAGTAGTTAGCTTTTATGTGAATTAATTTTCAAAATTGCAACCGAGTTCAAAGTGTTTTCAACTCTGTCGCATCGTTAAAATTATCCCCGCCGATAAACGGCCGCTTATCGGGAAAAGAGATAGTTAAATAATTAATTCGCCGATTCGATTAACGCAGCGATGCTCTCACGAGCAACGTTGCTGAAGGATTTAGGACGCAATTAATTTTAATCAAACAATCACGAGTTTTATTTAGAAAGAAAGAGAGAGAGAGAGAGAAAAGGAGGAAGAGAGAAAGAGAGAAAGTTGAACTAAATAAAATTTCTCTTTCACACGTTACTCTCTTTCTCTCTTTCTCGTTGCTTTGCATTTTAATTGCATTTTGGTATGCGGCCCGTTTTGCATGTTAAAGCCAACCGCGAGCCCACTTATTGCACCGGGGGGGAGGGTGACGAGAGGAGGGCTAGGGGACCGAATGAGAACGGGCGCATCGCGCGTGCGAGATGGGGGTGGCTGCGGAGATGAAGGGCGGCTCGTTACGCGCTGTTGATGTACAGGGGCGTCGTCATCGTCGTCGTCTCCGGCCCGGCACGAATTTGGTTCACGGATCATCCCGCGAGCGAGCGAGCGTGGTCTGCTGCCTGCCCGCCCGTGTCTGTGTGTGCTCGCTATCGACAGTTTTCCCAATCGTATCTGTTCCGGAGAGAACATCCCCCTTGCCTGCCTTCCGCGTCTCACTCTTCCATCCCTTCGCGTAACGCCGACATTGGGTGTTGCCGTGAGCGACGCAATGCATCGATGCATGCGATGCAAAAATCATCGGGCAAAGTGAAATAAACATGTTTCCAAAATCGAAGGTTATCTCCTGATAATAATTGTTTTAACACGAAATTGATCGTTGAAAATGCGTTGTAACAAAATGTGAAACGTTGGCATATTTTGTTTTTCATTTTGTTTTGTTATAAATGTTTCTCATGCGAAATAAAACGAAGCGACGAAATAAATAATTAAAAATTGAAATAACTCGGAGTTAGATAAATAAGTCTTCGCACGTTTTCCACATAAACAAATTAATTTTGTCCGAGACTTTTTTCAAAAATGCGATTCTTCTTATCGAGGACACAGGGTACACAACGCCGTAAACATAAATCAGACAATAACACCGCTTGCGCTTCAACAACATGATTTTTCCGTCGCGCGCGAGAAGCGAAAA